TCCCACACTCACACTCACACACACACACACACACACACACACACACACACACACTCACACACACACAGGATGAGGCGGAACGCAGCACATTACAGCTGCAGAAGCGGTTTGTGTCGACGGCCTGCAGTATTACTGCTGCTGTCATTACAGAGCCCGGCTAAAAATACTGAACGCTCTGCAGGACTCCAGCAGCCTTTCTGAGCTGAGATTCTGCAGCACGACACCAGCGTGACGAAACTAACCATCCCTCACACAGCACAGGGCCAAAACGCCAAAGCAATCAGCTTTGAAAAAGCACTATGTAAAAAAATAAATAAACATTTATCATTGTTGCTATATCATTTTTAATACATTTATTTATTTACATTTAGTTATTAAGCATTTTATCCAAAGCCACTTACAAATGAGGACATTAGAAGCAATCAAAATCAACAAAAGAGCAATAATATGTAAAACAGCATGAGCACAGTATCGTTATTAAATTAAATTATACATTTATCCTAATAAATAAATGTATCAAAAGAGGAGGGACCCATTAGGATTGCTTTTTATCGAAAATTAGTGTCATCAATAAATGATCTCTAATGGTCTGAAGGTTAAACCCCATCCTAAATTATTATATAAACAATAAAAACAGCATAAAAACAGGAGAGAAATAAATAAAAGTGTCAGATGCACACAGCATGAGGAGTCAGGAGGCGACGCGGTGACGTCACGACGCACGCTTGACCGCCAGCGGCGCGGTTGATTGACAGCAAGAATCAAAGGAGAAGTGTGCGCATGCGCACTGCGCAGCTTCTCCCGGAATAAACACCCGTTTATTCACACTGACCGCTCTCGCAAGGCTAACAAGTGCTCTGATGTTTTCATAAATTAGTAATTAATAAAAATCAAACGAAGCAGGAGTGAATAAAGGCGGCTGTGAGAGATATATGAAGGGATTCCCTCACCGATATCCATTACAACAATCGCATCTGCGTGCAGATATATGATGACGTTTTCATAATTATCCCTCATTACCACACAGCATCTCTAAATGCCCACACATCAAAAACTGGAGGAGAAAAGCACAATATTCGGGGTATTCATCAGATTTTCCCTTAGCGTATTAGTAATACTCGGTACTGACAAATTCAAAAAGGCCATAAATAAATAAAAAACGATATAGAAATAAAATCAGATTTGTTATTTACCTCTGTAACGTCCACGCTCGTGCCGCACCGACTCCAGCAGCAGCGCTCGCGCTCACGGTGCGTGACCGGAACGTGCGGGAGCCGCCGCATTAACTCACTCGCATCCGATTGGACGAGCGCTCTCTCCTCATGAATATTTAATGAAAGGCACTTAGACGCGCAAGCGCAGAGCTGCGATGGATGCGCCGCTCAAGAGATGCGAAGCTTTATCGATGAGATTAATGAAATGCGGTTGATAAGTAAGACGAGACCCGTCTGTAGCTTCATTGCAATACCATATGTTTTTCCTTGTTCTGTTTTCTTGTTGTATTTTAGTGTTTACAGCCAGAAACTGATTCTGTGCCAGACGCTGATTATTATGCGACACATAACATATGAAGTATTAAAAAAATAATAATAATTACTGTGAAAAATACAGTAAAATAATCAAAGAACAGCTCTTTTGGACTCAAGAAACGGATGAACAATCAAAAGGCAATAAATAAGAAATTATGCACTCAAAACAGAACCAGTTTAATCCCAAATCTTTCCCAGACATGAAAATATCCAGATGTGTCAATAGTAACCCTTTGAAATAATAATAATTTTTTACTTTTTTTTAAGTGTGTTAAAAATTGTGTTTTATGGTCAGTCACAATTAATGTGCATACTGAATTTATATATACATACTGATAAAAAGTGCATAAATGCAAAGTGCATACATTTAATTTAATATATAGTATTTATATATCTCAGCCCAGCTATTTTAAACCGTTTGATCACATTCTAGGGTTATTATTATTATGCATAACAACACTGATAGGAACACTGAGATAAAAGACAAAAAAACACTTTTTGTGAACAAATTGTTACTTTATTGTAACATATATCATAAAATTGTTATATTAGTGCTACCAGTATTCTAACATCAATATTGTAACTTATTTGTAACGTTGGAACTTTTAAGTTGAATGCAATATTTCCTTCACTAACAACTGCAACTGGCTTTATATGTAAGCCTAAATGCACTATTGTGACCTTCAACATGTTTCCTCGTTCTATGACCACAGTCAGTGTCATTTTTAGAGCTTAATAAATGAAAACCTTCTTCTTTATAGTGACCGGTGGGATCTAAGGGGTTAATGGTCTCGGGTGAAATATGATCCAGACATGTTCTTTAAGGATATGCTGAAGATTTGTTAAAGCATCTAACAAATGTATACATGTGAAGACCAAAGACACAAAAGAGCTGTTTAGTGTCAGCTTTTGTTCCATGAAGTCCATCCTAACCACCTCTGACCAGGACAGAACTAAATGTCAGGAGTTTACAATAAAAGTGTTTAGTACACACAATTAAACTGCACATTTATAAGTGCTGTGGCTGTCAGGTGATCATGCCGTTATATGACTAGATTATACGATAGAAAGCTTTTCAGTATCAGTGTGGACATGCACTCTATCTGTTCAGCCAGAGAGAGAGAGATCAATAATTAACTGTCATGTCTATATGAAATGCATAAAGCATCCTGATATCCTGAAACATTTCCATAAATAACTGGTTTAATGAAGAGTCAAAACAAATATTATCTCAACTGTGCACAATGTTACTGACACGCGTACTGAACTGCACTGACAGCCATTCTAGGAACATATGAGACAGGAAGTGCAGTGGAAATGTCCTCAGCTGAGACAGGAAGTGCAGTGGAAATGTCCTCAGTTGAGACAGGAAATGCAGCAGAGGCACCTTTAGCTGAGACAGGAAGTGCAGTGGAGATGCATTCAGCTGAGACAGGAAGTGCAGCAGAGACACTTTTAGCTGAGACAGGAAGTGCAGTGGAAATGTCCTCAGATGAGACAGGAAGTGCAGTGGAAATGTCCTCAGTTGAGACAGGAAGTGCAGTGGAAATGTCCTCAGTTGAGACAGGAAATGCAGCAGAGGCACCTTTAGCTGAGACAGGAAGTGCAGTGGAAATGTCCTCAGCTGAGACAGGAAGTGCAGTGGAAATGTCCTCAGATGAGACAGGAAGTGCAGCAGAGACACTTTTAGCTGAGACAGGAAGTGCAGTGGAAATGTCCTCAGATGAGACAGGAAGTGCAGCAGAGACACTTTTAGCTGAGACAGGAAGTGCAGTGGAAATGTCCTCAGCTGAGACAGGAAGTGCAGTGGAAATGTCCTCAGCTGAGACAGGAAGTGCAGTGGAAATGTCCTCAGCTGAGACAGGAAGTGCAGTGGAAATGTCCTCAGATGAGACAGGAAATGCAGCAGAGACACTTTTAGCTGAGACAGGAAGTGCGGTGGAAATGTCCTCAGTTGAGACAGGAAGTGTCTCAGGAAGTTCAACATGATTTTTATATCGCTGAGGGACGCTGGTATTGAATGGTTTGGGAAACAAAATCAACAGTGAGATTTCAGTCAGTCATTCACATCTATTTGAGGATTATGAGGAAAAAGGTCAATAAATGAATTCCCTTAAAGTTGTGTATTGGAAAGTTTTATTGTGACAAGTATCTCAAATATTGAGATTATTCCAAAGATTACATTGCCATTAAAGTATTAATTATTAGTATAAAAATGGCATTAATTATTCTGATTGATATTGAAAGCTGGCATGAAATAAAAATTCACTGTCTGTTTTCCAAATGCATGTTACAGATCTAACAATTCATCCATGTATATGTTTCTTTTTTTAATTATGATTATGTAGGTCTTCTTCTTCTCCAGTTGCCCGCTTAAGCTCCGCCCCTGCAAGCTCACGCTCATCTGCATACTTTTGAGAGCCCCGCCCACATCTCGACAAATAACCCCGCCCCACATTTTTTTCTTTTTATTGATAATCTGTCACATTTGGATGTATGTCAGAATAAAGAAGAAAGGATCTGTCGCCACTCACCCATTTTTCTATTATTGTGTTATCACAGTATTGTATTATCAGTATGAATTTTTTACTGGCTTCCACTAAAGCAATGACGTTCAGGAAATAATGCACTCTGACTTTGAAGACTTTGGAGGAGTTGAGGCATGTGAGGAAAAAGATCGTGAGGGAGAAACACGCGAGGAGGAGGCGCTTGAGGATGAAATGTACGAGGCTGTATATGAAGATGATGCTGCTGAGGAGGGTTTATAGAAGGGGTTGTTTGAGGAGGAGGAATATGAAGAAGATGCATTTGTGGAGGGAATATGGCGAGTGACTGCAGGAACAGCTACACGGCTCCTCACTGCCACTGCTGGATTTGCCACCGCAGGACGGCTCGGTGAATCAAAGCCACCGACATCTCTGTACTCGATGAGATACTCGGGGTAGATCTGGTGCTTTTCAAACACCACAAATACGGACGGATCGAAGACGTCATTCACACAGCTGTCGTAGAAGACGGTGTCTCCTCCGTCTTTGGATGGAGGCCGGAGGTAGCTGGATTCACCTTTGGTGTAGCTGCCAACCAGAATGCGACACACGAACATGGAACGAGTGCCTGCGTCTTTGGTGTAGCTGTGCGAGTATTTGGCATCCCTGGCAAAGTAACTACCTGCAAAAGAGACGTATTTCAGGCTCTTTTAGAAGGGGAAAGATGTTGCATGCATTTAAGAGACTAGTTAAACCAAAAAATGTGCTCATTCTCAGGCCACCCGAGATCATCAGGTTTGGAGAAATGCAGCATTGCATCAGTGTCTCAGCAATGGATGCTCTGCAGTGAATGGGTGCCGTCAGAATGAGAGCTGATAAAAACGTAAGTAATCCACAGCACTCAGTTAACATCTGGAGAAGACAAAAGCTGAAACAAATCCAGCATCAAGACGCTTTTAACTAAAATACATAAGAGTCCATAATCCATAATAACGCTTCCTCCAGTGAAAAAGTGCATCTGTTGTCTCTCACATATTAGTTTAGAGCTGTTTAAACGCTGCTTGATCTGTGCAGATTTCTCTCCTGATTCAGACCAGAACACTTTTTCACTGGAGGAAGCGTTATTATGGATTATAGACTCTATGTATTTTAGTTAAAAGCGTCTTGATGCTGGATTTGTTTCAGCTTTTGTCTTCTCCAGGTGTTAACTGAGTGCTGTGGATTACTTACGTTTTTATCAGCCCTCGTTCTGACGGCACCCATTCACTGCAGAGCATCCATTGCTGAGACATTTCTCCAAACCTGATGAAGAAACAAACTCGGATGGCTTCAGAGGGTGAGCACATTTCCAGCAAATTCTCATTTCTGGTTGAACTATTTCTTCAATACTGTTTCTTTAACCGAACGCCACCTTTTCCGTAGGCCGTGCCGTGAGTCCCACAGATCCTCCAGTCGAAGTTGTTGTGGCAGATGGCATCTAAATGCGTGCTGTCGGTGCCGTGGAAGAGCTGCTTCTCGGTCACGTCTCTGCCTCCGTTGTTCTTTTTCATGAAGTCCTTCTGCCTAAAAGTGGCGCAACCGTCAGACGTGCTGTAATCGATCTGGACGCTCAGGTGAGTGCATGTCTTGTGGACTTACCACTGATAAACTTCCCATAATGCTTTGTTCTGGATCCTCTCGATCTTCAGGATTCGGAAGCCGACCATGGTGCGACTGAACAGTTCTTTGATTTTGATGTGTTCGGCTGACGTGCTCTGCAGCGACACACTCTGTGTAAAACAGCACAGAACGATATAAACAGAGATCCACGTAAAGTCACCGATAAATGATTCCACTCACCTTGTATCCGGTTTCAGGAGTCAGGGCTTTATCCCAGTGCTCCGGCAGAGCCTTGAAATTGTTGGGCGTCCTTTTACTGAGAACAGAGAGAGGAGTTTTTTCATCATACAGGTTTCGGAGAGTCTGAGAGAGAATGAGGAGTGTTTACTTACGTTGTCTTGATTGTTCGAACATCAGCCGCTGACACAAATTTGGGACGACGTCTGACGACTTTTTTGGTTGTGTAGCGTTTGTTTGTCTGGATCATATCTGAAGAGCAAGATTAGTTCAGACGGCATCAAGAGAGCTGCATGAAGCTTTTTCAAGACTATTATAAGTATAATGTATGTGAGGGTGTGCGATATTGACAATATTTAAACAATATTCTGCGCTGGTATAGTTTGTGCAATTACACTGATTTAAATTGAACGTTAAACGTTAATATATTGATCATGTTCTATTCTGTAATCTTAATATAAATCATAGCTGTCAGAATAAAAAGGTTGCATTTTATGCATTTTATCCCTGATGAAAATGAACTATGGTTTTACTAAAGTGACCGTAGTTCAACTATAGTATTTGTAGATTTCCATGGTTACCACTACAGTAAACATATCTGAACCATGTGTAAACAAAAATATAATCTAGTAAATTGCAATTAAAGCATGCTGAATGTTAGAATGCGTTTCAAATATAAAGTTAAGTGGGTATCATTACCCATTAATCATTCTTAACTGAAAAGTTCAGTTTAGAAGTATCGTATCGGTATCGATATTGACGATACTGGCATTTAAAGGTATCGGTATCGTATCGAAAACAAAATAAGTGGTATCGACCATCCCTTCTTTGGCTGGTTTAGTCCGATCATGGATAATTTCATTAATAATTTAATTTATAATTTAAATAAATGACACTTAAAACCGCCAGTAGATGGCAGTAATTCCCTGTTTTAATGAGTGATTCAATGAATCATTCATTTAAATGATTAGTTCAAAACGGCTGATTCATTCAGAAACGAAGCAAGTGATTTATGAATGGATCATTGAATCATTGACTCAAATGATTAATTCTAAAACAGATTCATTCAGGAACGAATCACTGCAGTGTTGCTCTGTTCCTCTCCGGCTTTGTTTGAAACAGAAAAAAACAGACAATATTGTGTCTAAAATGTAACTCGCTCGATATCAGCTTCTTGTTTGTTAAACTGTTGTATAAAATCAATATCACATTCACGATTGCGCTCACGTGCTGATATTTAGGAAAACAGCACTTGTGTGATATTACTTAACTATATCATATCTTATAAATACACAAAAACAAAAACCTACAGCGATATTTTTTTCTTTCATAACATGAATTATATGCTCATTCTAACTGCATTCTAATAGGCTTCATCATGCAGTGAATGCTTTCGGGTTCTCAAGACCCAAACTATGTTTTTTTGTTAATTATGCGACATACTCGATAATGTCAGCTCGCACATCGTCAATAAGGGTCAATTTTTCGAAATTGAGATTTATGCATCACATGAAAGCTGAATAAATAAGCTTTCCATTGATGTATGGTTTGTTAGTATCGGACAATATTTGATTTATATTTTCGAGATGCAACTATTTGAAAATCTGGAATCTGAGGGTGCAAAAAAATCAAAATATTGAGAAAATCATCTTTAAAGTTGTTCAAATTAAGTTCTTAGCAATGCATATTGCTAATCAAAAATGAGGTTTTAATATATTTACGGTAGGAAATGTACAAAATATCTTTACTTAATATCCTAATGATTTTTGGCATACATTTTTTTTAATAATTTTGACCCATACAATGTTTTTTTGGCTATTTCTAAAAATATACCCGTGCTACTTAAGACTGGTTTTGTGGTCCAGGGTCACATATGTGAATATATATTAAGTAATGATTAGTTCTCGTACGTCTGCGATCCGGCGGTGAACTCCACCACGGCGTTGCTATCGGCCTGGAACTTCTGCTCGAGTTCAGCACTGGAGATGGAGGACAATCCATGACCCCCGTCCTGATCAATAAAGAGAAAAAAAAAGAACATCAAAAGAGCGCAAGATGTTGAAAAGCATAGTTAGGATACTCAAAAAGCCACTTGCCGCTGTGGCATACTGGATCCAGTTTCCGTACTCGTCCTCCCAGTACCAGATCCACTCGGTGGTCAGGATGAAGGTGGGCTGGAGCACCGACGGTACTGTCGACAGACGCCGCACGCTGTAACAGCCTTGGGTCATCGTATCGAAATAAACCATGTTCATTCCAGAGCTTTGATAGACAGAGAAACCGTCAGAACACTCAATAAACCACTGATTATTCATGCACTGCCTACTAACTGCCAGTGTTGGGGAAAGTTACTTTTAATTGTGTTACTCCACAAAAAAGTAACTAATTGCGTTACTTAGTTACTTTTTATAGAAAGTAATGCAATACAAAGTTCTGGCATGAAACTCTAGATGGCGCAGTCTGATAGGTCTAACTCAATCTGACTTAATGACATCATATTAAATGGCAGCTGATTGGTTCTCTCCTGTATCAGCAGCCAATGAGCTTGCAGCTCAACATTCAAATATTTGGCTAGTGCTTGTGGTAGCAGTTGCAGCGCGCTTTAGAAACCCTCCACCTTCCCCAGCTCCACCTGTATAGATCTGCTAAGGGTGATTCATGTATGCTATGGGCTTATTTCATACATGTTATATGTGCAGCAGCAGTATTTCTTACATGCTCACAGCAGCATGTTGTGGATGTATTGGCAGCAGCAGCAGCAGCGTAGCAGATCTATTCCGCCAAGACCAAATACATTAACATTGTCATGTGCATTACCATGCCAATCCCTCGGAGAGTTGTCAGTTGACAGAATTACGTTTCTTTTGCGTTACTTTTTGTCACCTGGGCTGGGCTTGTTTATTTGTTTTTTTAATAAAATGCATTACTTTACTAGTTAATTGAAAAAGTAATCTGATTACTTGCGTTACTTGTAATGCATTATCATATATATATATATATATATATATATATATATATATATATATATATACAGTATATATCACACACCCCTAAATGTAAGATGATTTTGAGGTTACCTGTGAAGCTGAGCTCGTATGTCTGCGATCCGGCGGTGAACTCCACCACGGCGTTGCTATCGGCCTGGAACTTCTGCTCGAGTTCAGCACTGGAGATGGAGGACAATCCATGACCCCCGTCCTGATCAATAAAGAGAAAAAAAAAGAACATCAAAAGAGCGCAAGATGTTGAAAAGCATAGTTAGGATACTCAAAAAGCCACTTGCCGCTGTGGCATACTGGATCCAGTTTCCGTACTCGTCCTCCCAGTACCAGATCCACTCGGTGGTCAGGATGAAGGTGGGCTGGAGCACCGACGGTACTGTCGACAGACGCCGCACGCTGTAACAGCCTTGGGTCATCGTATCGAAATAAACCATGTTCATTCCAGAGCTTTGATAGACAGAGAAACCGTCAGAACACTCAATAAACCACTGATTATTCATGCACTGCCTACTAACTGCCAGTGTTGGGGAAAGTTACTTTTAATTGTGTTACTCCACAAAAAAGTAACTAATTGCGTTACTTAGTTACTTTTTATAGAAAGTAATGCAATACAAAGTTCTGGCATGAAACTCTAGATGGCGCAGTCTGATAGGTCTAACTCAATCTGACTTAATGACATCATATTAAATGGCAGCTGATTGGTTCTCTCCTGTATCAGCAGCCAATGAGCTTGCAGCTCAACATTCAAATATTTGGCTAGTGCTTGTGGTAGCAGTTGCAGCGCGCTTTAGAAACCCTCCACCTTCCCCAGCTCCACCTGTATAGATCTGCTAAGGGTGATTCATGTATGCTATGGGCTTATTTCATACATGTTATATGTGCAGCAGCAGTATTTCTTACATGCTCACAGCAGCATGTTGTGGATGTATTGGCAGCAGCAGCAGCAGCGTAGCAGATCTATTCCGCCAAGACCAAATACATTAACATTGTCATGTGCATTACCATGCCAATCCCTCGGAGAGTTGTCAGTTGACAGAATTACGTTTCTTTTGCGTTACTTTTTGTCACCTGGGCTGGGCTTGTTTATTTGTTTTTTTAATAAAATGCATTACTTTACTAGTTAATTGAAAAAGTAATCTGATTACTTGCGTTACTTGTAATGCATTATCCTCAACACTGCTAACCTGTATGTTCTTGCAGCATCGCAGTAATCTTTCTCGATGGCTTCGTTGTCAGGAAGAGCCTTCCATTCGGATCCTTCCTTAACTTCCCATTTATAGGGCAGAGTGGAATGCTCCTTCCAACACGAGCCTGGAAACACAAGCGTTCAGCTGCGTTCATGGTGAACATCACTCTATGAATCACACAAGCGCAGCAGAATGCCGCTCTTACCACCGTGCTTGCAGTGTCCTTTGACGAAATACATGCAGATCTCCGTTTTCTCTGAGAGAAGAGACACACACACAATTCTGTAAGTGACTTTCAGGCTGAATTTTCCTAATATTGCATTCTTGCTTTTAAAACATATGGAAGCCCGTTTCTGCCAGTGAATAAAAAATTAAAAAGGTAATTGCAACTTTTTATCTCACAATTTTCTGACGTTTTTCTCAGAATTGCAAGATATAAACTCGCCATTGCGAGTTATAAAGTGAGAATTGCGTGATATAAACTCGCAATTCTCAGAAAAAAAAGTCAGAATTGCATGATGTAAACCCACAATTGCGAGAAAAGTTTTTTTTTCAGAACTGGACTTTATAACTTGCAATTGCAAGTTTATCTCGCAATTCTGACTTTTTTCTCGCAATAGTAAAAAAAAGTCAGAATTGCGAGTTTATTTCTCACAATCCAGACTTTATAATTTGCAAATTCTAATTTATATTGAGTTTATATCAAGCAATTCTGAGAAAATGCAATTCTGACTTTTTTCCTCGCAATAGCAAGTTTATATCGTATAATTTTGACTTTCTTCTCACAATTGCGAGTTTATATATCACAATTCTTAAAAAATGTAAACTCGCGATTGCAGGAAAAAAGTCAGAATTGCGAGTTTATTTCTCACAATCTTGACTTTATAACTCGCAAATGCAAATTTATATTGAGTTTATATCAAGCAATTCTGAGAAAATGCAATTCTGACTTTTTTCTCGCAATTGCGAGTTTATATCCCCCAATTCTAACTTCTATGTAACTCACAAATGCAAATTTATATCTCACAATTCTGAGAAAAGAAGTCAGCATTGGGAGAGAAAAGTCAAAATTGCGATATATAAACTCGCATTTGTGAGAAAAAAGTTTGTCGCAATTTGCAAAATGTAGCAAAAAAGTCAGAATTGCGACAAACTTTTTTTCTCGCGAATGTGATGTAAACTCGCAATTGCAGGAAAAAAGTCAAAATTGCGATATATAAACTTCGTGAGTATTCGCGAGAAAAAAGTTTATATGTCGCAATTCTGACTTCTTTCTTGCAATTGCGAGTTTATCTCACAATTCTGAGAAAAGAGGTCTGCATTGTGAGAAAAAAGTCAGAATTGCGAGTTTATGTGATTTTTCTTGCAATAGCAAGTTTATTTCTCGCAATTTTGACTTTCTTCTCACAATTGCGAGTTTATATCTCACAATTCGTAAAAAATGTAAACTCACAACTGCAAGAAAAAAGTCAAAATTGCGATATATAAACTTGTATTCGTGAGAAAAAATTTATGTTGCAATTTCGACTTTTTTCTTGCAATTGTGAGTTTATATCTCACAATTCGTAAAAAAATTTAACTTACAATTGCAAGAAAAAGAGTTTTTCTCACAATTCTTTTCTCAGAATTGTGAGATAAAATGTCACAATTACTTTTTTTTTTTATCGTTTTTTTATTCAGTGGTGGAAACGGCTCCCATAAAGCATGTATGTGTTACCTGTGTTGTTTTGTGGAGGCCTCTGAGCCCCCTGTCCTCTGACTGCGTTAAAACCGCTCGACGGTCTCCGGTTCTGTGCATTCGGGCCTCTTCTGGGGTTCGGTCCCGCAGCGTTTGGAGCAGAAGGTGCCTTGGAAAGACGCCTCAGGACTTCAATGTTGGAGTACAGATCCTTCATGATGGCCATGAGTTCGGCGGGGACGCCTCTGTCCTGCAGCGTCTTCAGCGGATGCGGCTCGTAGAAGTCATGAGCGCGAGTGCAGTCGCAGGAGCCTCGCAGATATTTCTCGCAGATGTGGAGCCTCTTACAGTTCTCGGCGTCCGGACAGCGGCCGTATTCTCCCGTGCCATTATTATACGAATGACACACCTGAGAAACAAGCACCACTTTTCAAGTTCAACTCAGAACTCTATACTTAGAGTAAAACGTGTGAAATGCTCACCGCTGGCAGGAGTGTGTTATCGCTCTGCATAAGCAGAATGCACAGCTCCTTTTCGTCCAGTGTGTTCAGACCGTGAGCGGTCAGAACTAATGCATTCTGACCTGAGAGCAGATCGTGACTGAAGCGGCATCCTCGTCTGCAAGTGAAAACATTTATTTAGGGAACAGACAGTTTTTGTATTGCACTTGGTTTTATTTTAGTTACTTGTAGGCAGTGAGATGCAGATTGTTTCTTCATCAGGTTTGGAGAAATGTAGCATTGCATCAGTGTCTCACTGCAAGTGAATGGGTGCCGTCAGAATGAGAGCTGATAAAAACATGCAATATAAGTGCATCTCCTGTTGTCTCTCACATATTTGTTTAGAGCTGTTTAAACGCTGCTTGATCTGTGCAGATTTCTCTCCTGATTCAGACCAGAACACTTTTTCACTGGAGGAAGCCTTATTATGGATTATGGACTCTATGTATTTTAGTTAAAAACGTCTTGATGGTGGATTTGTTTCAGCTTTTGTCTTCTCCAGATGTTCACTGATGGACTGGAGTGCTGTGGATTACTTGTGGATTATTGTGATGTTTTTATCAGCTCTCATTCTGACGGCACCCATTCACTTGCAG